GTTAAGTTAAAAAGTAAAACGTGTTGATGTAGAATTTATTAGTTTGTAATAATTTCTAAGAATAACTTGAGTATTTATTTACAAAGATGAAACAAAACACCAGACTGGAATAAAAACAAAAACTTGCAATAAAACTTTATTTAAATTCTGTACTGAATCAGAACACGTGCATCAACTGAAACACAGAAACAACATGGCGTATTTACACGCGTGTACGTAGGTGTGTGTGTGTGTGTGTATTTTGAGTTTGCGTGCACAGGACAATCGCACAAATGGACATTTTGAAAACAACTCATATCTTAGAAACTCACACATCACACTCTGTTGTCAAGGTAGCCCCGGGGTTACCATGGCAACAGGTGCAGATGATCGCCTCTCAACCTTTCGCCGTCGCCTTGGAAGAATCTGAATGTTTTGTCTTTCGTTCTGATTTCCCTTTATTTTTCTTGTCTTTGACATTTTCTTACGTAGCTGCGATTAAGTTCTAACGTATCGGCAGCAAACGATCTTCGAACTGATGCTGCTTCTGTCGTCAGATGAAAAAAGGTGTGTGGCGGAGTTATTACGAGGTCAGAGACGGCACAAAGATACAGCACAAGAAAACATGAACACCAGGTGTAGCACAGACCAACATCTGTCCTTTCAATCATATTCACAAAATTTAAAACACAAAACAACTTCGTAAACTTAAAGCGTCGATGAAACCAAAGCAGCCAAGATGAAAAGAAAGAAAAGAGACGGAGCAGACAGAAAAGTTAGAGAAGCTTCAGAGTGACAGCAGACGAGAGACAAGACTTTAAGAACCTTCCAGATAAACAGTATTAAAGTGCATCAACTAAAGAGGCCGAGCAACCAATCAAAACACAGCATTCAGGGGAAGCAGCCAATTGGCAAGCAGAGAGAAGGAACAGGGAGGAGTCAGACGTCATGACTGACAGTGACGTAAGGTCCCGTTTTTAAACACCGTCAGTTTCATGTTAACGTTGAATCAGCTGATTCAAAATCAAATGAGACAAAAAGAAAGTTCCCTAAAATAAAACTGTTAAAATCGGACAATTCTTACATCTGTATCTCACAGACAATAACTTCTGACTAATGAATAACAATTAACAGATTATTACAAGATCGTTAGATCACAATCATCACATCTGTTCTTATTCTGCAAATATTTGTGTTGTGGAACTCGTTTAATTACAAATTACTGTCTCGTAATATAATAATAATATTCCACCACATGTATGTTGTCACGATAATTATGAAATCGAATGTAAACCGTAGTCATCATTTTAATAACATGTTCAGTGTGCAGGATTCAGGGCCATCTAGTGGTGACGTTGTAGACTGCAACATGTAGGAAAACCTACGGTGGCCTGCGAGTAACAGAGCCAGTGTTTGGTTTGTTGATTCTGGGTTACCGTAGAAACACAGATGCTCCTGAATCCTCCACACTGACCCGTTGTAATAATTTTACATCAGGATTTATTAGTTACACATATTCTTTATTTTGCGTTGTTTATCAATATCAGACCGTCAAATCTTGTTGTCAATAATATATATAAATATTATTTCTAAAACAGACGTACGGTAATAAAGGAAACTAATGATTCAAATTAAGAAAGAAAGTTGAAACTATTGGATCAAAAAAACTACAAAACAAACAAAGGAACCTGAGCAGACGATGTCACAGGTTTGATATCAAGCACAAACGGGACCAGGACGTCTCTGCAGCTTCAGTCTTTACCAACAGAAGCAACAGCCTCAAAGAAGAATCGAGTTCAGTTCATTTTCACGACTGTGACGGTAAAACTGCGGCCACTTCAAAAAGTACGAGAGTGAAACAACGTGAACAACAACATGATACTCGACTAAATTCATTGAAAATAAAGCTTACACCAAAAAAGATTTGAATTCAAACAATTTACACTAAAACTCAGCCAAGAAAAACAAATCCAGCGTCTTCGTTTATTTTACAGGAAATAATCTCGCCACCGTTTCATCGCTGTTGAAAGTAGTGTTTGTTTTACAAGTTGTGAAACCAAACAGCAAACGTGGAGAAAGGAACCTTTAAAAATAGGAAAAGTCTTTTCGGTTCCTGACGGTCGGAGAGAAAATGAACTCAGTGGTTGAACTGGAAACATCAGGTTAAATATTTAGATACGTTTTGAACGATTAAACCAATTACATTTTGTTGGATTCATAAACAAACAGTTGAAAGCAAGAACTGGCTGTAAATATTTGTTTCATAACTTGGTTCAACCAGATGTAATTATGTAAATATTCACATTTTCTTTATTTCAATTTGTGGAAACAACCAAAAAGAGATCCAATAAATAATCAGCACAGTTGTTGTTCTCCAGTTTACCACCAGGATCACTTTCCATCATCGACAGTCGGATGCTAACGGACGAACTTACAGAGTTTAGATTCGTAAGGTCCTCTGCATTGTGTGTAAATGTACAGTTACATAAATAAACAGATCAACACTCAATCACATCGAGAGTCGTCAGGTGGCGACGGGAGCGAATCAGTCTTTGTTACAAAAATAAACGTCTGGTATCAAAATAGACGACAATCTTTATCTCTCTCAGTCTCGGGAAGCTCACCGCGCTGGAGACACCACAAAACAACCACAGCTCTACGCAGAAACCGCCGGCGCCCCCGTGTGGCATAGTGAACTTGTGGAATATACATTTTATATTTACATGTTTGGCTTTGAGCTGACGAACCGTTGTTTCTGACGACAGCTCTGAAACCAGGGAACTTTATTTCTCAGCGTGTTTGGGTGATGCCGGTGTAACCTCAGGGGATTTGAATACCGGCGGACACACGTTTGAGAACCACTGGTTAGGTTCAGAGAGTTGATCCCTGACCGACATGTTAAAGATCCAATTCTTGATTGTCGGGGTTAACGGTGACGTTGTTTTTGGAAAGGCAGTTTCGCCACGGTAACGGACACGTGGTCCAGATGACGCACGGGTGCATGGACATGGAAACAACACGAAGAAGCAACACTGTGGACGGGGAATCGAACGTTACTCAGGAGGAACGTCTTCGTGAGCTGAGCGGACGCGGTTTAGAGTCTGATGCTGCACAGAGTAACATTTGACGTTTATTCAAATACATGAACGATCGATTATTGGGCTGGTGGACGATCGGTTTGTTATCATCTGTGACATCGATTCATTTTATTTGAGCGGAACTTTAAATGTAATGAAAATACAAACTGAAAGATTTTTCTTCCATCATTTATTCATAGAAGAATTGCACAAAGTAACGAAGGGATTTTTTTATCGACGTTGGGACGGAGACTTCTACAGTGACTCTCGTTGTTTAAAGGTCATGAAAAGTATTTTCTCCTATTAGACCAAAGGTTAGTCGTATGTTCCCTGGTGACGATGCTACGATCAACCGGTGCTTAAGGTTTTGAGTATAAACATCTGAAAGATTAAAATGTGTCGTCCGAGTTACGGATGGTTCGCAATCATAGAAATAAATGATTATCAGAGGAGAATCGATGGTCGTGCAGCTGAAGCTCTTCACCATCATTTTCACATTTCAGCACCAACTCTTTGAAAACCCTTCACTCGTTAAATCATTAAAACGTATTTAAATACTTCTCTTAGGATTCGTTTTCCTCGTCCTCGTTTGCTACTTCAACAAACAGCATGAACAGAAGTGAAGGTGGGTTGGTTTAAGACTTCGGAACAAAGAGACAACAGATAAATGGACTAAGTTCTGCTGAGGAGTTCAATAACATCTACGTTAGGTGCGACCACACCAAGAGTCTGGGAGGAGACCAAAAACCAAATCAAACCGACTCCGTCAGTTTCCTTTAAGTCTGGAACACAAACATCTGTTTTCCATGTCAAGACCCAGGTTCAAGTCCCAGGTTCAAGACCCAGGTTCAAGACCCAGGGTCTAAACCCTGGGTCTACTGAGACTCGAGTCCAACAAGGATCCCAACAAGTTTTGTTCAACAATGTTTTGTCCAAAGAGGAACAAAACCCAGTCAAACCGTGGCGCTGCTTCTTGGTTTAGCTTCCAAACCAGAACCAGGTCCTGGGCTAGGGTCAAGTCCCGTCTGGTCCACAGTCGGAACTTGACCGGAGGTTTTTTCGGGTTCTGGTTTGGTTCTGTCGAGATCCTCAGGATTTGTCCCCCGGCTGAGAGTGCTCCATAGACCCCTCCTCATCCGACAGACCGGTTTCAACGGCGATGACCAATGATGCCACTGAGGCGCTGCTCGTCATTGGCTGACGCTCACCTGTAAGTGGGGGGAGGGGTGGGGTTAGAATGAAGATGTGACCTCTTCTTACTCTTAAGTGGCTGCGTCCACACGACACGTTTCGTGTGTGATGTGTGACGTCTCATTTCACATCCTTCACTTCCTCCATCGATTCATTTCTTCATGTTTCATCAGTAAAAACCAATAAAGGGGACAAATGTAGTGTTTGTTACCTGTGTGTGTGTCTGTGGTGGCCGTCACAGGGCTGTCTCTCAGGGTGTCGGGGTCCTGGTAGTCCTGAGGGAGTCCGACCCGTCGTACGCCAGGGTCCAGCACCACCGAGGAGCCGCCCTCGCTCAGCGTGCCGTCACTGGACGCCCCGGACACAACGGCCTCCAGAGCCAGGGCCCCAACTCCGCCGACCCCGCCCACACCGACCCCACCTACTCCGCCAAGGGCCAGGTCGTAGTCCAGCGGGAGGTCGTCCAGACAATCGGCATTCAGCTGCAGCGGAGGAGACACGACACGTTTCCAATGATTAGAAAAATGCTTGGCATCAATAAAGGTGACTGGACCTCAAAGATCTGGGGCCCCTCAGCTGTGGCGCCCCCTGGCCGAGGATCTTAGAAACTCTAGAGAAGAACTATTTTTTATTTTAAAACTAAATCAACATCCATACAAATCATCAGCGGTTAATAAAGATGGACGACATCTTACGTTAAATAAATGTTTCTGTCAGTTCAGCTCGTTCTTCTCTCTCTGATGTTTGTTCAAGTGTTCATCAGTTATTGGATGATATTAAAACAGACGTCATGATTGACAGCTGACACTGACTCATGATTGGTCAAGAGTGGCTCCACCCCTCGATAACTACTGAACAGACTGACTGTACATGACGTCATCACCATAAGATGGCAGCGTTCGTATCTGAGATATATTGGTGTTGTCATCTTTGATCTTTGTTTATAGTCTTTGATCTTTATGGTCCAGACGAGTATTTCGACTCCTCTGTGATGTCTTTGTTTTCTCTTACTCTGACTGTTTGGTTGTAAAGTTTAGTTGGTTTAAAGTTATATCAGGTTTATCACTGAAGTCAAAAGGTTTTAGAACATGACGCATTATCTGTTCAGATTCTGTTCAGACTCACAGCGATGCCCAGAGCTTTCAGGATGTTCATCTTGCACATGGGACACGTGCGATGGTCCAGGAGCCACGGATCCACGCAGCTCTTATGGAACAGATGTCTGCGGCAGAAAGAAGCAGTGAGTCAGTTCACAGAGGAAAAAACAACTGGACGAGAATCAAGTTCCCAGTTTGAAGAGAAAGAATCTGGACAAACATATCTTGTTTTGAAATCTCAGACATGAAGCTCACAAAGGTCACTGTCGTCACTTCCTCTCCACACAATCCTACAATATTTTTTTACCATCACAAGAAAACTGCTCGTCCTGAGAAAACAAACCAGGCTCAGCTTCATTCCAACCTTTAATCACCAGGGTCCAGCTTCTTCAGGTTGGTTTTAGATCCTCGGGTCTCAGGTTTTATGACATTAAAATAGGTTCAATTATATTTTAACAGTTATGTGGTTTTCATGTGTAGAAAAAACAAGTGTAATGTCAATGTGTTGACTGCTTTGTCCCACTGAACTGAAACACAACCGAACGCTGGATATTACCCATGATCCTCTGCTTCCTGAACCAGAAGAGCTGCTGCTGTAACAAATCTAAACTCTGTTAACGGTCTAGAAGCATTTAAATAAAGTTGATTCAAATTAACCGTGAATGATTTAATCTCTCAGCTTCTGACAAACATTTTTAATGTTAATAATCACAAATCGTACAGCTCCTCCTCCTGGACGTGTTTACCTGCAGGGCAGAATGCGGACCACGTCGTTGGCCTTGTAGCCCTCGATGCAGACGGCACAGTTGTCGAAGTCGGGCTCCGTCTCCTGGTCCCCCTTCCTGATGGTGCGAACCTGCAGCTTACTGATGGCCTTCTTCGCCGCATCGCCAAGACGACGCTGGAGAAAGAGGTGGCGACGACAGCGATGAGGCGGTGATGTTTCTATTATTATGTCCATCCCATCTCATATTGATGTTGTTAAACAGCAGCTGTGTGTGTGTGTGTGTGTGTGTGTGTACCTGGTTCCTGTCTCGGGCGTTGGCGTATCTGAACCTCTGGATATAGTAGAAGACGAGCCAGGCGAGCGAGATGATCATCAGCACGATGAAGGAGATGGAGACGAACACCACCGACGTCCTGCTGACGTACTTCTGCAGGTTCCTCGTCCCGATGGTGATCGTCATGGTGACTGTCACGTTGCGCTCGAGCAGCAACGCCACCTCGCGACCTTTTGGCTCTGGGATCATGATGGCGACCACCTCACCTGTACCTGAGGATGGAGAAACACAGACCAGGTGAAAAATATTATCCATTGTGACCTCACGCTCCAGCATCGTTCTGCTCATTGATCCAATCACAACTGCTGCTTCTCGCTATGGCAACCAGCTCCTCCGCCAACCCACCAGAGGTGGAAACTCTAAAAATAGTCCGTTAACCCCAACGTGGTGCGGGACGCACCAGAACATCCGTTTGTTTCCATCACATGGTTGTTTTGGCTTCACTTGTAGGAGCTGTCATGACGTCCATCTTTGTTTACCACTGACGGAGCTCAGCACTGACTGTCCCTGAACGCATCGTCCAGTGACAGATGTGTGGAGAACTTGCGTCGACACGTCGACACATTCTGGACGACCTTCGCTCCCCACGAAGATTTACTGCACAGTCATGTTTGTTCTCGGTCCGGGGGAAACCTCAAATCCACACACTCCCTGACCTTTGACCTCAGACACCTTGAAGAAGTTCTCGTTCTACTTTTCGTCCTCTTCAGTTTGGTCCATGTCCCATCTGCTAACATGGAGGAGGCGTTTATGAACTATGCTGCAGTCAGACAGCAGGGGGCGATGTGGCTTCATTTTTAGGAGACTTCATGTCGTCCATCTTTATTTACACCCAAGATCCTGACAGACTAAATTATGATGATGAGATCAGGTGTGTGTGTGGATCAGGATCAGGTGTGGATCTGGATCAGGTGTGTGTATGTGTGGATCAGGTGTGTGTGTGTGTGTG